AAAGCACCAGGTAAGGCTGGTACTTCCACTTGTAAAGCTCATACTAAGGCATGCATGGGTAAAAATATACATCATCCTGCAAATCTTGAAAGTGTTGTTGATCCTACGTTTAATCAAACTCGTCATTTACAATTGCTTGCTAGAGCTATAATTTTGCATTCCTATCCTTTAAATATTGTGGAGCATCATGGCCTGAGGGAAATTTACGAATCTGAATCCTAATGTGAAGCATGTGTGTAGAAACACTATGTTGAAATATTGTATTGCTGAGCATGATAAGTTGAAGTCCTTGTTGTTGCAATCTTTTTCTGGAATTGAAGGTAGAGTTAGCTTCACTTGTGACTTGTGGACATCATGCACTAATCGAGGTTATCTCACTTTAACTGCACATTATGTTGATAAAAATTGGTGTCTAAGGTCTAAAATTCTGAATTTTAGATATTGTGGTCCTCCTCATACTGGTGTTGAGATAGAAAAATTTGTGTTTAAACTTATTGGGGAGTGGAACCTTCAGGGTAAAGCTTTTGCAATTACTGTTGATAATGCTCGATCTATGGATGTTATGGTTAAACTTTTGAAGAAAGATTTAATGTTGACTTCTCCTCTTCCTTGTAATGGTAAATTTTTTCATATTCGATGTTCAGCTCATGTCTTGAACATTAATGTTCAAAGAGGTTTGAAAGAAGTTGATAGTAGTGTTCAAAAATTGCGTGAGGTTTGTAAATATATTGATTCTTCGGACTCTAGACTTACTCAATTTGAGCATGCTCTTTCTGAGGTTAACTGTCTATTTAACGGTAAGTTACGTCTTGATGTTGTGACTCGTTGGAATGCCACCTATACGATGCTCCGAAAAGCTTTAGAAGCAAAGGAAGCCTTGAAAGTGGTTATCGATAAGTATATGGGTTATGAATTCAAACTTTCGGATGATGAATGGGATACCCTTGCAAAAATATGTCATTTCCTAAAGCCATTTTATGAAATCACTATGTTATTTTCTGGTTCTGAATATCCTACCGCAAATTTGTATTTTGCTAGTGTTTTGAAAATTGAGCACACAATAACTAAAGCCCATATAGACCCTAAACTTGCACCCATGGCAAAAGTTATGCTTGAAAAGTTTGAGGGCTATTGGGATGACTATAGTTTGATCCTTTCAATAGCTATTGTTCTTGATCCTCGCTATAAGCTATTTCGATTGACGAATATGTTGAAAGTGCTTTATGTTGAGGAGGCATGTGTTGAAAAGGCGAAGGTGATTAAAGATGCTCTTTTGGAGTTGTATAACTTTTATTCTTCTATGTGTTCCGGTTTTAAGTCAAGTACAATTGTTTCCCCCTCCATCCCTATTGGGGTTGATAAATCAAATAGTCTCTTGGATGATGATGATATATTCAAGGTAATTATTTTCTGTTTATTGTGGTTTACTAAAATAATAATTATATGTCTTAATTTTTATTATTTAATAAAAGCATATTTTTTGCACTTTTCTAGGATGTTGATGTTGATGATAGCCTAAATCGACCATCGATGGAGATTGATAATTATTTGAATACTCCTCGTCAACCATCAATTGAAGGGCAGAATTATGATGTTCTCAAGTATTGGGAATCTCAAATTAATGTGTACCCCATATTAGCTATTATGGCTAGGGATGTTTTGGCCATTCCTATTACATCGGTAGCCTCTGAGTCTTCTTTTAGCATGGGTGGTCGTATTTTAAACAAGTATAGGAGTGCACTTTTGCCTAAGAATGTTGAGGCGTTGGTTACCACACAAAATTGGTTACGTGGTTATGATTGTGATATTGAAGAAGACGTCCTTGAAATTGGTAAATAGGTGATAGATGAAAGTTTTGCATCTAATTAGAAAGGTATGGATGTTGCTATTTTACTGATGCTTAATTTATATTGTGTTGCTTAATTCAAGCTTTCTTGTTTTTTTTTTGTGAGAAAAGTGTAGCTTCATTTCTTACACTAATGATAAGTATAGGGTGCTGCTACTGCTGACTGCTTCTTCTCCTTACTGCTGTTCTGCTGACTTGCTGTGCTGCTGACTTGCTGTTCTGCTGTTGTTCTTCCATTCTACTGCTGCTCTTCTTCCATTTTGATGTTCTGCTGCTCTTCTTCCATCGCTGCAGTTCTGCCATTCTGCTGCTGCAGTATGCAGTGCTGCTGATCTGCCATTCTGCTGTAGACTGTGGTGCTGGTGTTAATCTTGTTATGCTAAAACTTGTACAATTCTGTTGTTAAAACTTGTTTGTATGGATTGGTTGGTTTGATTTTGTTACTTTGTTGTTAAAAATTGTTTAATTATGTGTATGGATTGGATTAGTTTGTTTTGGTTTTGAAAAGTTGAAACTTGTTGAATTAGAAGTTTTATAACTTGTTAATGCTATTAATCCTATTATGCTACTGGAATACTGCTATGTTGATGAATAAGGCCCAAAAGGCCAAAAAATTGTAGGTTATTGCCCAAAAAACCAAAATTGCAGATTATTCCCCAAAAACCAAATTAAAGTCAATACTCACGGATTAGCTAACGAAATGCTATTTCTAAGGGAATTTAGTATTAACTAAGTTACTAAGATATATACAATTAATATGATAAGTATATGGTCTCAAGAAAAATTGATAAGTATGGAATATATGCTAAATATATTCTAAGATTTCTAATACTTAATCCAAATAATTACATAAAAAAGTGCACCAAAAAAAAATTATTATTACATACAAAAAAAGCTTGTAAACGGTTCGATTTATAAGCGGTTTGGTTCATAAACGGTTCGGTTTATAAGCAGTTCGGTTCATAAACGGTTCGGTTTATAAGTAGTTCGGTTTACAATCAGTTCGGTTTTTAAATGGTTCGGTGCAAACGAGTAGCAGTTTGCTAACAGTTCGGTGTAAGCGGTTTTTATGCCAGTTTAAATGGTTTCGGGTTAGAAACGGTTCGGTTCATTTTCGGTTCGGTTTCCTTTTCAGTTCGGTTTAGATTTGGTTCTGTTCTTAATCGGTTTAACGTTTTCTCGGATCGGTTCAGTTTCAGTTTTACTAACATGCGGTTCGGGTTGGTTTTCGGTTTCAAAAAAATCGGTTTTTAATCGGTTCAGTTCTCATTCGGATCGGTTGAAACAGTTCGGTTTCACCGGTTCGGTTCGGTTTTTGACAGTGCTACTTGTATCTTTTTAGTGGTTATAAATTAATATGGTCGTAAAGATCATACTTTTGGATCAAGAATTTAAGATCATGGAATCATTTAGCTTAAATTTAAAAGCTTCCCAAAAGTAGAAATCATTCAATGTGTTAACCCACTTTAGAGAGCATAGCATAATCCTTGCTAAGAGAAACAAACCACTTCAATGTAGTTAAGCCCTCCACACGTTATTTTCACTTATTTCATCTCAAGAAAATTTTGATAAGTTCAAATAATATAGGTATGAGGCTCATAGTTCAAATTATATAAGTTAAAGTATAATGAGTTTATCTCAACCAAAAAAAAAAAAGTATAATGAGTTTAGCGCCAAAAGATAAGATAAATTCAAGACGCTTTTTAGTAGGTTGAATATAAATGGATTTTTTTTTTTTTTTTTTATTATGATGAAAGAATATGAATTTATTAAATGGTAGTTGCTTTTTTTTTTTTGGTCTAAAAAAATAAATTATTTCCACATTAGCACATTTTCTGTGTGGCCAACTAACACACACTAAAATACTGAACGGGTAACCCGAATAACCCCTGACCGAGTAACATCGGCCACACGATGTAGCCAACCACATATTAAACTTTGTGTTATCCCATACAGTCCAGTTTATTTGTAAACAAGCAAGAAGAAAATAGACAAAATTATTCCACTCACCCTATTATAGAAAAATCCATGTTTTGTCCAATAAAAGTCCTTTTATATTGACCCTAACTCTATATCCACCTACAGTATTAGGAAAACCAAGTTTACTCAAGTACATCAAGTCATCAATTGCTCTATTTGACAACCCAAGCTTAGCTTGCTCTAGTGAAAAGGAGAGCACTTTCCAAGATTCAATCCCCACTAGTGACAATTTGGGATGGAAATTCCTTACCCTTCCCCCATTCTCCCAAATTATCTAACCTGCTAAACCCGAGTTGTGCTGACCCATGAGGGGTTCCGGCCCAGAAGAACCCTCTATCTTACCTATCCAAAAAAAAAAAAAAAAAAAAAAAAAAAAACTCACTTTGACACCTTTTACTTTGGATTAGGCCATACATATAATTGGATCAATCATTAACTATTATTAGCCAAATATGATGCTAGGCATAGCTATTCTAAAACCACGGGCTCACCAGGATCACTAAGAATCCGCAAAATTTTGTTAATCTTAACCACACAAGCCCCTAAAATCATTCGATGAAATATCACAAGTATTACCAATTCCACCGTGACACCCAACCACCTAATGTACTTATGTACCACAATAGCAGGATAAGTTTATAAAGTACTACCACAAGTCCACAACTATACCACCAACAATCTAACTTGTAAATATCAGTTCATATTTGAAATGGATCGCATTCAACTACTGATAGAACGATTGTGTATTTTTATTATTTTGTAAACTTCACAAGCAGTAAAGCATATAATACCTACTTCATAGTAGGTAGTGCATGTTTGGTGGGCGGTAATAGATGGTGGCAATAGAAACTTATTTACATACAAGTATAGCCTTTTACAAAAGTCTCATGTTAAAATCCTCAAACATGCTACTTTTTCTTAGGCGCTGTAAATAATAAGGTATACTTGAGGCATTTTATCTCATCATAGATAGCATACTTGTGAATTAGATGTAAAGCCATTGTCACTAACACCATATATAACCGCCTACATAATGGGGCCTTTCCTTGACTTCGTACATTCCCAAGACCAAACAGACATTGATGCACAAGGCAAAACATGCAAAAGTAAGGTGCAATGAACTCGAGATAGCACACGCAGTTTCTACTACCATGCCTGATTGTAGAACCTATCGGAAGAGTTTGACAAGAATGCACTACTAAACAATTTCATAATCACAATTGACAATACATGTAATAATTGCAGACCCAATATGGTAAGTATGTCAAACACACAATCAACTAAAGGTTCCTCTAACATACACTCAGCTTGAAAACAGAATGACCAGGCTGTCTTGACGAAGTTTAACACAAGTTCAAAGGTAGACCATAAGCTTTTAAATAGAAACACTAAGATAATATGATTAGACACCATGCACTTGATGCACGAAAGTACAAACCACATAGAAGCTATTCTGAGCGAAATGACCAGCCGGCTGCCATTATCATCTATGTTGAAATCCCACATTGAAATATTTCCAGGGAGGCATCTGCTGCTGTGTCATTAGTTCCGTACCTTAGATTTCTCCATGGCTCTTGGAGCTGAAAATTACACAATACAGGCAATGTGAGACTCTCATCTTTGGAGACCCAATGAGATAAAAATGTCTTAGCCTTTTTTCTTATGCACCAGACTCTGAAATTACCTAGTTCTCCTTCCCACTTAGCACTTAATCACCAGATAACTCAAACTTGACTACAAGTGTTGAGCACATCTCAGGATAAAGGTGTCAACCTCGGACATGTTTAAGAAGAATAATTAGTGTGCTATGTCAAAACCAAGGATCAACTATTGATGTACGTTAAATTCTTTAAGAGGAATGAATAGTCCAAGTAACACAACTTGGACATCTATAAACTGCAACATAATCAACAATGGTGCAGAAAACCTTTTCTGATGTATAGCCAACTTACCATGAAGACCCCAATTTTTCCTTCATTTTCTTTTCCCATCCCAGCACAAACATCATTTTGTTAAAAACGTAGGTACTAGTAATTATTCACAAATGAGCAATGGAACTTAATTTTCAGTAAGTTGTAGACATAAGAGCAACATTCCCATGGCCATGGCAATGGCAGTGGCACAATTACTTGCGAGGTGGACAACTTTAAGTTTCAAGCTCTATTCCCTCACCTTATTGTAGGTCTAATAAATTCATATCAGTTCAAAACTTCAAATAATACTCCCTCCGTCCCTTAATGATAGTCCCTTTGGTGAATTTCACGGGAATAAAGAAACTTAAATAAGAAGTAGTAATAGTACATTGGAAAGATAAATTTACATGGAGTATGCAAAAAAGTAGAGAGAGAAAGTAAAAAAGTATATGGAAATGCAAAATTTACATGGAGAAGCTAAATTTACACAAATATTGTTGCGAATTGGAGGGAATTTTGGTAAAAAAAATTAATATTAATGGTTGTTAGAAAAAGCAAATGAGGTGAACATTTTGGGACTAAAATTTGACCAAAAAGGACTATCATTAAGGGATGGAGGGAGTATTAATTTAGGGGTAATATGTTCAAATAAACAAGGGAGTACTAATTACATGGTTCTATACTCCCCACTTATTTTCACCCATTTCAGGTTTAATAAGTTCATAAACAATAAGTTTAGGACTAAAAAGTTCAGATAAGATAATTTTATAGCTAATAAGTTCATACTTCCTCCGTTTCCCTAATATTAAACATGGAGAGGGGGCACGAATTTTAAGAAGATGAGAGAGGTAGAGAGGAATAAAGATAAGGACCCATGTGATGAGGAGAGAGAGAGAGAAAACATGTGCAAATAAGGTAATGTTGCAATATTTGTGAAAGTTCCTAAAATGGTCATTGTTGCAATATTTGTAGAACGGAGGAAGTATAAGATAGATTCACGACTTACAAGATTAGATAATATAAGTTCATCACTAATACGTTTAGATAGCACAAGTTCATGTCTAATAAGTTAGGTAAAGAGAGTAATACCTTAGCGAACATTATTCACCGTAAGTGGTTGAATACAAAACTACTAATAAGAATTAGGCTTTTGGTATGGTTCGATTAAGAGTTTAAAGAAAATGTAATAAGATAAACTCACTTCAAATACACGGTAGGGCCTGTTCTTATGTTAATAAAAAAACTATAGTCAAAGTTAATATATAAATAGTGAAAAAAAAAAAAGTCCAACGTGTTGGTGGGACAAAGGGAGTAATATTCATAAAAATAAGTTCAATTTAGTAAAAATAATTTCAATTTAGTAAAAATTCGTAAAAATCCGTAATTGTAAAGAAGAAATATAAAAGGAAATCAGTAAAAATAATAACATTTTAGTAAAATTAATTTATTGTCAATAAAAATAATTTCAATTCAGTAAAAATATTTTCAGTTAAGTAAAAATAAGGTGAAGTTAACAGGGCCTAAACTAAATACTACATTCACTTAAAATTAGTTTTGTCACTCTCATCCATTCATAACTATAAACCTGACATGAATTTACAAGAACAACCTTGATGTTATATACGTGTAATTTTATTTCCTCCCCATCACTTAAGGGTGGGGATATTAAAATTCTAATTATAAACCATTATTACTTTAGGTTATATGACAACCTTTTTCTGGACAATGTAAATTTGCACTGATTATGACAGAACATACGCACCTAATCCAATTGCATCGGAACCCTTCATAATCTTCAACCTCTTGCAAGTTTCAGTGAACATTCTGCAAATAGAACAAGTAACAGTAAGGTGTGCAAAGTTTCTATTATTGAGAACTTTTTTACGTCAGTTAACACAGACATGACACCATAATCGACTAAAGCAATGGAAATCACAGCACCACAAGTCACAGAAGAACATGAATTCAGGTTACTTCAGGACCACGCAAAATGCATACTGCATAGAGTGCAGGCAGGACAGGAAATGCATTATTGTCTCCTAAGACATCTTCATATGTTGGTTTGGCTGAGTAATTAAGAGGATATAAGTAGATTAATAAAGTAGAAATTAGATAGAGGAAAAAAAGGTAAGAGAAGTGTTTGGATGGAAAGTGAAAAAGGGTTGACGCGGTGGAGAACAAAAGTACAAGTACGATACAATATTTACACGGTTGAATTTGACTTAAAAAGGTAGTGTAAAGTTTAATTTGGGACATTTCAAATAAGAAAATGCATAGATTACTTTGGGACAAAGGGATAATAGACAACAGAGTGGAAATACAAAAGTAAATTCATTGTTCTCCACATTATCTCCAACGAAAACAGAAATGAAACAGAGCTCGCCACCAAGATGTCGCCTGTCCTCTGCCAATAAACAGTTCAATTAGTTTCCACTACCTTCCAGTCCCACATCCGAATGTACATGCATATTTTATTTACGTGCTTGAGAATGAGTATGAATGTATGTATTCACCTTACTGTTAACTCTATAGAGTGGGCCGTAAGGAAGCTTATTTAACAATTATATACAACCTAAATATGGTCTAGGCAATCAACTTTGAGAAGAGATGCAGCTAGCAGGTTCAATTATGCTCAACATTCATTCATCTCTTCCTCATAATGGTTAGAAACCTGCACTACCATTATAGCCCCTCCAACTCAACCAGTGCATATTTAAAATGTATCCTCAAAAGGATAGTTGATGAAAGAAGTGTAGATTGACTCTAGAGTGTAACCTGATCACCCTTCTTAAAACATGGAATAAAGAAAGGACATGATCCTTTTAATAGCAACTCAAGTTATTTGGGTAATGTGTAGTATAAAATATGAAATCCCTGACTAGTCACGTATCTCTGGAAGGTCTCCTGTCATATGGAGGCCATGTTACCCTGAGATTGAAATTGGTAAAGATCTATGATATGTGATGGAAACGCAAAAAGGCAACTTATAAAAACATAGGAAATCATGATGTTAAGGGAATGACTAAAAAAAGGGTACTAATAAAAGAGCTATGATAAAAGGCGTACACAACACACACGACTGACAAAGATGGTAACTTAGAGTGTAGAAATTTGAGAGCTAGATGTCCAACAAAAAGGGAAAAAAACTTGATGCAAGTTAATAAGCTAGAAGGGATGTTTTCGACTTCTCAAATGATATGATTTAGAAACAGCCAAACGCGATCTTTATGAAGTTCCTAAGCAACATAGCAGGAAAGCATGCAAATATTATCCTACAGGGTAAGATGAAATTCCTCCTATGCCCCAAAAGCAAATGAAAGGATGAGAAATAATTATGTATTTTATTCGGGCTCTCTATCCAAGCAAGCCTCATAAGTCATAATGCAGCCATCTTGATGTAATACTAGACAATATAGTCATTCGATTAGTTATGAAACATGCAACTCCATATCAAAAACCTATCTTGAATGCAGATTCTGGGGATACCCATTTAACGTGTAATCAATAAATTGTAGTACAGTGTCACATGTTACAGAAGGGTCTTGGCACAGATCTGCACTTGCTGTACCCATTGAGTGTTAAAGCTAGACCTCGAGATTCACTTGATTAAGCAGGGTTCAAACTCTAAATGTTACTCAAGCTTCACAACTCACAAGCGTCAAACTGGTTGGGTATCTATCATAACACGCCAAGATTTTTACAGATTTCCATTGTATCTTATACCATGCCCACATATCTACATCAACAAATCCATTTACAGTAACCAATACACATCAAACACGGGAATAGCAACAAAAATTCAAGACTCAAGTGTAACAAATGATAAATCTACAACCAAAGATCAGAATTTCTAAAACTTTGTCTTAATTAATAATTATATAAGCAGTTTGAAGTTGTAAATATATAATCCATTCAACGAATATTTGAGTCCCTAGCATAATCATCAAGTTACATTCTTCTCATCTAGCAGCTAGTCATTCAGTTTAGGTGGCTGGGAATAGGCTGGGATGCCGTCATGATTAGTGTATAGGAACAATTCAAATAAAGAAACTTACTCCCATGGGACATCTCCAACAAGCATCCAGTCACCATCCTTGTCCTCGTAGGTGAGAACATATTCTGATCCATGCAGGAGATCCCTCAATTTTGTTTCTGTCATGTTTGATCCACACTGACCTGAAAGCATTTGAAATCCGACAAATCTTCTTTATAATACCACGAGGTTTTAGAAACAATGAATGTTGTAAACAAACTAATTCATAGGCAATTTTAAATTGTGGTAGCAAAGATATAAAAATCATTGTTACAAGTAACAGATGCTAACCTAGTGTGAAGCAACTAAACATCTTCTCAAGGCCAGAGGAAAGTTCTTGATAAGTGGTATAAGTTCTGAGATCAACCTTCCTTAAATAGGGAGCACCATCCATGCTAACCTTGACAAAAAGCGGATCAGTGTTCTTCGAAGTGGTGGCCAACGTATTTTTTCGGAATGATCTAATAGGAGGCCAACCAACAACCTGTGCCCTGTCAATGATGCAACAACAGCTTTCAGTAACCATTGAGTAATCACTCCTAGATCCATAAACTTGCAAATCCAATACCTCCACCACTTACTTAGCAGCCGGTGCAGTATTACCACTGTTAGAACGCGGCAGTTCTCCCACAGCCTTCGGAGGGGCTTGTGGGGCTCCACTCTTAGCAGGGGCTTGTGAGGCCGCAGGCATCGATGATAGCACTGTATTCATGCCATCATTAGTCGGAAGCTTAGCCTGAGCCACCGCTTTAGGAGCATCAGAATCATGCCCTTGTGACTTAAATGTCCAATTAGCTTCAGTATCAGAAAAGCCTCTTTTACTACCAGACACAGCAGACTTTTGTGAAGATGAGGAGATCCCATCCTTCAAAGGAGTCAAAGGAAACAACGGCTTTTCATCGAGCTTTGAGACACTCGAAAGGCAGATACTCGAGTCTCTTTCTGGTGACTGAGACCCGGGAAGTCCAAGCCTTAGCTCAGTAGCCTTAAAGTTCAGGCTATCCTTGTTATCGTCAGACAAACTCGATACATTCGAGCTGTCGACAGAGGAACAGTCCGACAACCCAAAATAGTTATGCTCTTTCAGTCCTGATTCGACACTCGTCAGAGAAGGCACCAATGTATGATCATTGCTTTGCCCTCCCCCCTCAACACCCATCAATGGGGGAGACATCAGATTTAAATTCTTTAAAAGTTCCTCTTATATCAGCTACCTAGTTCTTACCCCAACTGATCTAACTCCAAAAACCTGCAGAAATCCACAAACGCACAATAAATTATGAAATGAAACTCTAAAATTAAAATTTGACCTTATAATCTACTCGTAATACGGAGTACTATCTCCATTTTTTTTATATAAATTTCAGCAATAATTGTACAAATTTCATGCAATAAATTCTCCTAAACCAACCAGCAAAATAGTACGAGTACTCTAAAATTCTCAAAAATTAAATTGAATAGCAAGTAACGATCAACAAATCTGAAAATACCAAATTACCACCCGTTTTATGGGTCAATTGCCACACACACACAACAAGAATGAAAAAAAAAATAAAAAAAATTAACAGAAATAAAAATGAAAAACTCATTTCTAAAGTTAAAGTGAAATTTCACAAAAAAGGTATATGTAGTAAATTAAAATCTTACAAAGATATTAAAACAAAAAATTTCTTACAAATAAATAACTACTGCATGCGGGTATTCCGACTCAAAAGCTAAAAGACCTTGAAATTCAACCAAAAAAAATGAAATTTTAGAAGTTGGGTAAATAAAATTTGACTAATTTAACACCTTTTGAAATCATTAAAAGTAAAGTGAAGGGCAAAAAATGCAATTTGGTCTCACAAAAAGACAATTTCAAACCCGTAAATGTAGTTTATTTACTAGTAAATAAAAATACAAGTAAAGCACAAAATATCAACACTATCAAAAAAATAAAAAAAATAAATAGAACAGCTAGAACAAAATTTTGGTGTTTGGTAACACCAGATCTCAAGAAAAACAAAGAAAGTCACCACCCCCATCAAAAAATAAAAACACTTACTGGAAGAAAAGAGGATTGGACTAGATTAGATTTGTTGTTGCAAAAGAGTGTATGTGGAGAAAATGGAGTAAATAGTAAAGTTAGAAGAGATGAAAGTGTTTGAAGAGGAGAGAGAAAGAGAGAAACTAAGGACCCTCCATTAATCAGAAACCAACAAAAGCTTAAGCTCTTCTTTCTTTATTTCCTGTATGTTGGCCGTGAAACTCGAAGCAAGGAAATTAAAGTTAAAGTTAAATTTTATTTTAATATTTTAATTTTAATAGTATAATTTAAAAAAGTGTTTGCCTTTTCTTTCACTTTGTCGAGAGTGTTTACCATAACCAGACTACAGAGTACCTGTATTTATAATTTTCTCTCAATATGCTTTTTTGTTGCATTTTCTAATTACTCTGCCAATCATATCTGGGTCTAGTGATAAGATTTGTATTTAGATCAAACTCCATTATAGATACTTACCCTTCCCCTAACACCCAAAGTGCCTAGGCCGGATCGGGAGGACCCGTAAGAGATTCCGACCCGATAAGGCCCTTCTCCTTACCAAGCAACCAAAAAAAAATAAGCAATTCTAATTACTCTACTACTTATTTTTATTACTAGTATTACTAATTTACTATTACTTCGTATTATGTAAATGGACAATTCACTCAGAAATTTATAAGTATAATGACCATGTTTGGTAATTGCCTTTTTGGTGACTTTTCTATTAGCTTTTGGTTTTTTTATGTGGTCAAACAGCCAAAAAAAGTGTTTGGTAATTGGTTTTACATTCAGCGAAAAAGCTGGCTTTTAAGCCAAAATGAAAAGGTTGTTATGAGTAGTTTTTTTGTTGGCCTTTGGCTTGTTAGTCCACAAATTATCTAATAAACAACCAACAACTAAATTTATCAAACACTTTTATAGATAGCCAGCTTAAACAGCCAATTTCAAAGGCCATTATAAACAACCAAACATTCCCACCTGATCAAACAAGCCAAGTGAACCAGTCCATCTACCGCCAACAGCCATTTGCCAAACAAGGCCAATATCTAACCCTTGTTTAATTTAGTCCTGGCGTGCCATTGTTGAAACTGTTTTGCAAATTGTTTATTTATTTTCTCTATCAACGATCTACTCAACTAAAAGTTTAACCTAATGGTTAAGGTCTAAAAACGGTTTATATACTCAATCACGCCCCCTCACACTAGCCCTTCTTTATTCTTGGTGGGCAGTTGTTGAATTTATTTTGCTAAGATTGTTCATTTACTCTATAACTGTTAGAGAGCTAACTCAGCCTAAAATTAAAGTCGATGGTTAAGGCCCAAAAGCGGTTTATATATTCTATCACTAACCATCACCTAAACGTGAAATAAAAAGGAGGAGTTATAAAATTAAGGAGTACGATAATGGTGTCTACATAAACAACTTATTCCATTTGTTTCATAATGACCTTCCCATTTACGTATATCGATGTAAATATTTGATTGCAAATATATTTAATCTCAATCAATTAATCAATCAAAGCCTTAATCCCATAAGTGGGGTCGGCTACATGAACCAAATTTGATTATTAAGTGTAGTCATCCACAAAAATCTTCCTCCTCCATCCCTTACGATCCAATGCTTCATCCTCAAGCAAATCCATATACTTCATATCCTTTCTAACTCCTTCCAACCAAGTCATTTTCGGTCTCTCTCTCCCTCGTTTAACCCCTCCATGGTCCCACTCTTCGAACCGGTGCACCCTCGGGTCTCCGTCTTACATGCCCAAACCAACGCAGGCGATTTTCTCTTAGTTTGTCTGCAATGCCTGCCACACCTACTTTCTTGCAAATAACCTCATTTCTAATTCTATCTCTTAGAGTGTTCCCACACACCCACCTTAACAAGCGCATTTATGTAACCTCCATATTTTTAATGTGCTTCTTCTTAGAAGCCCAACATTCTGTACCATAGAGCAACACTGGTCTTATGCCACTCTAGTAGAATTTTTCCTTCAACTGTAAGGGAATGCTTCGGTCACGTAACACTCCCGTGGCCGCTCTCCATTTAAACCACCCCGACTTAATCCTGTGGGCCACGTCTTGATCAATATCACCATTTTTTTGGATGATTGACCCAAGATACTTAAAATATTCACTCATGGTCAGTTCCTTTCCATCCAAACTCACCACTTCATCACTTGTCCCCCTCTAAGTACCAAAGCGACGTACCAAATACTCAGTCTTACTCCGACTTAGATTACACCCTCTAGATTCTAACCTTTTCCTCCATTGCTCCAATTTGACATTAACCCCATCTTTAGTTTCATCCACCAAAACGATATCATCTGCAAATAACATAAACCATGGAACCTCATCTTTAATCTCACATTAGCAAAAATTATAAAAATTAAATCTTGATAATGTGCTTACCTAGATGAATCAACCTAGACCTCATATGCCTATGTTTGTTCCTATAAATAAAGAGAAATTAAAAGGTTCCCTCTGATTTTTAATAGCCAAAAATTACAAATATGAAGATCATTATGAAACAGATGGATTAAAATACCCTTAATTTATTATCATTGTGTCATTTGGAATCTTTGTACATTTCATTACAAATATATGTATAACATATATTACAACTCCTTTGTTCCTTTAATATTATTGCAATATAAGAGAAGCGCACAAAATTTGGTTTGTGGAAAATAACAAGGGAACAAAAAGGGAAAATTATAAACTTGTCCATGTGATTGATTATCAACCAATAATGGGTTATGTTGCAATAATAATTTAGAGCCCCCCCCCCCCCCCCCATCTCAAAGACAGTAATATGTACACAGATTGTCGTCGCAGCAAGTATACATACCAAGCTGAAGTTGGAAGGTTGGTGCAGTGGTCGAAAATTATGGTGGCAACTAGGGTGGGTAGTGGCAAGCTAAGTGAGTTTGTGAGTGTAGGAGTGAGAGTGAAACAAAATGTAAATACAAGGGCATATTGGTCATTAACCATGGCAATTTGAAGTTTTTTTTTTGGTGTAAAAATAGCAATTCAATTAATAGCTCAAATATTGAGTAAATATTAATTTCAAACAACTTTAAATGTGCAACAATTCGCAATTGACCTCATAAATGCTACCCAATAACCTTTAGTGATTCAATTACAAAAACACTTGCTCGCTAAATAATGTTTTCTCCAAATTCTATAATTAAACCCATAAACAATAGTTTTTTCTATGAGTTTTACACTTGATGGCTTGAATTATAGAATATAGTCAAACTTATTATCTTGTGTTTGTAATAATTATTTTTTATAATGAAAATAGTATAATTTTCCAAATTGACTTATTTTGAATATTATAGCATGACAAATTAGCATGGTAGTAGTAGCAATAATAAAACATTTTAAATCTTAGTTATAAAGAATCTATATCAAATCAGACCAATCAAATTAAAAATTAAGTTCATACTAATCACACCAGAAAAAATAAAAGTGTGTTTTATTCACTAAATTTTCACTTATCTAATCTTATCTGATTCAATCTAAACTTATTAAATCTTGTTAGAACTGATTTTAGCTACTTATATTTATTCTCGATTAACCCTTATAACAACTTAGCTTATTCTTGCTGAACTTATCTTTAACTTATTTTTTATGAAAAAAAATTAAAAATAAGGTAAACTGAATAGTGTGAAAATTTTATATCATATAAGATAAATATGATTAGGAAAGTTAAGGTGAACTAAATAGGGCATTTAAAGGACACAATACATGCCCTATTTAAATTAAACGAAGTCGTTCTAATACACTCTAATTAAAGGCTAAATTCTCCACCTTTTTAATTGTGAATTTAGTGGTGATGCTCACCATATCATGAAGCAATACTCACTCAATGTTAATGTTAAGTTTGTCATGGTTAGGATAAAGAAAGAGCAAGTAGAGCTTAAAATAGATAAAAATGAAAAATAAAAGCCAGGTTAACAAAGAGATATATTGTATTAAATAATTAAATAAATACTAAATAATTATAATTACAATATAATTATACACAAATATAAAAATAATCAATCTATTTAGCAGGTATTGAAACACATGAATTATATTAAAACAATAAAAACATGTGAGTAAAAATATTTAAATATTTAATAGTTATAATGTGCAAGTTGATATTTTAGGAAGTTTAATTTAGATTTTATATAAAGTAATAAAATTCATAATTTAGATCCAAACCTTTTTTTATATATAAAATAGTGAGTCAATGTTTTTTTTTTGAAGAAAGTTATTTGGAGGGAAAACTTTTAATAATATATTGTCAAGTGTCCTCATAGTTTCGCTTTTAGTTGTATGTAATAGATAAGAAACAAGGCCAAAAAGTGTGTGATGGACATTTGAAAAATTAAAACAAAATAACAAGATCTAAAATGACTATGCATGCTTTCAACTATATATTTTTCCTTAGTATTAGCCTTCATTTGCATTGAAATTTCTTAAGAAGTCAAATATAACAATTGAAAAAAAAACATGGGAAGTATTAAGCAAAAATAGTTTATAAGTTCCGTAAAAGTAATTTCAATACAATAAAATAAATTAAGTTTAGCAAGGTAAGTTCAGTTCTTTTAAAAATACATTAAATTCAGTAAAAATAAGTTTTGTTCAGTAAAATTCAGTTTTAATCAGCAACTTTAAGAAACATATATAATATGGAATAACATAAATTAATTTTTGTAAAAATAATTTAATTTCTCAAAAATAAGTGTTAATCAACCAAAATAATCTAGATTTAGTAAAAAAAAATCATTTAAAGTTCATCAATTAAAAATAATTAATTCTGTAAATAAAAAAATAAGTTTAGCAATAAAAATAATTCCAGTTCAGCAAAAATAAGGTGAAAAGAATATGGAATTTCAAGCAAAAAAATTTAAATTGAAAAACACATTTATACGAATCAAACAACATCTTAATTGATTTAATTTTTTGGTGTATAAATAAGGTCAAAATTTAGTCAAATCAAAAACTCATATAACACAATTATTTTAAATCAGATCATATTTGAATTTTTTTTTTGAGGTCAAATCAGTTGGATTAAATTGAATGCATGGCCTTTGACTTAATAATGTTACTTCCTTATTCCAGCAGCTAATTCAATTCTTTAGGTGGTATTGTATCTAAGCCCAAAAGATTTTTCAAGAATAGGATATCTGCCCTGAATTAAATTTGATTCTTTAAATCCCCTATTCAATTTTCCCCGGTCCAAAAAAACTAAGATTGTTTCTATTTCTTAGTCTCCTTTGCTCTCGAGTTTCACGAAAATTAATTTTGATGGCT